GTACTGTACTGGTATACTACACTGTACTGTACTGGTATACTACACTGTACTGTACTGGTATACTACACTGTACTGTACTGGTATACTACACTGTACTGTACTGGTATACTACACTATACTGGTATACAACACTGTACTACACTGGTGCAGTGTTTGATATAAACCTGTGAACTCAGAGTCTGAACTTTTTACTGGACACAAGAAGCTAATATTTCAGATGTTGTGTTATTGATGTGTTAGCGAGCGAGTGCTAGCATGTTGCCTATCAGTTGCCTGTTAGTGTTGCACTAGCATCTTCATCCTTTAGCCTGTTAGCAGTGAGACGACAAATGAGGAAATAACAGAAACGTTGTTTTTATTTTAAAATAAACTCTTGTTGCTGCACTGACGGGGTTTATTATTTTATATGATCAATATATTTGTTTATATTAAGGTTTTTGATGGGGTTTAGATGGAGAGGATTTTAATTTAATTAATTAATAGTATATTTCTGGGGGGCTAGAATGAATTAATTGGTTTTTAGTTATTTTTAATGAGGAAAATTCTATCGAGACACGACTGCTGCTGTGGAACTGATTAAACTGGTACCAGGAAGTCCTACCCTGTATCGTATCACCAGATTCTTACCAGTCCACGGTCCTGTGTGGATCAGAACTGACGTTGGATGACGTTGGATGACGTTGGATGACGTTGGATGACGTTGGATGACGTTGTGTTCAGACTTTTCTGCACCTGAGCTGAGACACAGGAACCAAAAACTGGAAAAAAAAAAAACACTTTCCAGAAATGCAGTGGTTTCCTGAAAACTGTCTTAGAAAAACAGAATATCTCTCACCGTGGTGTCGGAGTCAAGAGCAGGTGTTAAAGTGTGTGTCAACATCGGTCTGAGGACGGACATGTGGCTCCACCTGCTCCTGTGGCACTGACTGGGGGTAAATCAGTGTTTCCTTAAGTTTATCTGCAGATAGAAGAAATACTGTTGACCCCCCCACACCCCCCCCCTTCATCGGAATGCCACTGTAGAAAAAACTCTTTGGTGGTTGACCTTTGACCTGTAAAGTTCTGACTCTGAGCAGCTGTGTACTCATTTATTTCATCTCCACTTTTTTTTGTTGCATCAAGAATCAGACGGTACGATGTATTGTGATTCGCTGCGACGCTAAAGTCACGACGATATATTGAGTTTCTTTGAGTGTCATCGTAGTAAAGACACAACTTCAGTCTGTGGATTGTTTTGTTTGTGTATTTGATAGGTTCTTTGTTTAGATTCCATTTTTTTGTGCGTATTATATTTTTGATGATTATTGATATTTTTGTGTCGAACAGTTTTTTTTCTGTGTCGTTCTGTCGTGGTTGAAGAATCATTTTCATTTTTTTTTTTGTGTTTTCTTTCTTGGCTCTGCAGACGCCATAAATTCAACATCATGCTCCGAAGACTCCGTTTTCCTACACACACACACACACACACAGACACAGACACGGCCACAACATCATGTGCCTCTACACACGTACACTCACATGTGCACACACTGGAGCACATGCACAGAAACCCTGCTGCTACTGTAAAATCAGCACGGCTCTCAGAAATTCCACTAACGCCTCCCCACCCCACAGGAACACACACACACACACAAGCATGCAAACACACACTCCTGTGAGCCCACACAATTAATGTGAAATCACATCCCCCCCCCCCACTCACCCCTCACCCCCTTTCACCCCCCTCCATTACCAACAGCTCTGGATGGCTGTTTCTGCCTGCTGTTGTTTTTACATGTCTTGTTGTTTGCAATAGTCTCCCTTATGTAAGACTAAATTACCCAACACCACTGCTATTCTCAGTGGGGGAGGGAGGGAGGGACGGAGGGAGGGGGGAGGGGGTGCAGCGGTGCATTCAGCACTTAGTGTTAGGAGAAGTGAGAGAAAAGTGAAAGGAAGATAATCTCTCCTTAATGATTATCTTTATGGCACTCATGCTACGCTGAAAAGGACCAGAGTGAAAACAAAGAGCAAACAGGGAGGAGGGGGCGTGGCCTCCAGTCAGGAGTCAAGGTTTTTCTTTTTTTTTGTTTTTTGCTTTTTTTGCACATTTAACTACAGTGTGTAACGAGTGCCGAGGATTCTTTAATAAACTGTCCATGAGGACAGGACGCAGCGAGGGCTGCTGAAATCCCATCTTTTCTCCACAGGCAGGAGGAGGAGGAAGAGGAGGAGGAGGAGGAGGAGGAGGAGGAATCTGGGCCAAACTGTGAGGACGAGGCTGAGGCAGAGTAATCACTGTGACACACTTTACACCAGGAGGAACACACAGATACTGTTGATACGCAGGTTTTTTGTCTTTGGTGATTCAGCCTCAACAACAGACGCATTCACTGGAGGCCCACAGTGTGTACGCCAGCCTCATGTTGGGCCTCCATAAACCTTTGCTCCCTGCAGAAAGTCAGCCTTTCAGGATCACTGAGGTCAAAACCTGATTGGTTCTGCCTGCGTCGCTGCCTTCATGTGATCAGAGATGAAACTGTCGGTCTCCTCCATCAAGTCAACCATTGTCCTTCACTGCTGCACGACGGCTGGTCCGACAGAGACGCCGACGCCGCCTTAGAACTCTAGTACTGTTTGGATTTGGAGACGAACCAACAGACGTCCAACCAAACCAGTTGGACCTGAAAGGGTTTTCATCCAAAGCATCAAATCCCTGTTTTACAATGTAAATCACAGAGGGTAAAAACCAGAGAAGAAGATATGCTAATGTTGTTAGCAGGGCTAGCTTAGCATAGCCTGGCTAAAACTGAACACACAAGTGTGCCGCTAACAGGTAGCTAAAACGCTACCTAAGAACACAGTGCCAACATGTTGCTAATATCCAACACACAACGAGACCCCCCCTCCCCAGGTTCAGGGTTTGATACCACTTAGTTCCTGCCCCTCTGCCATATCACTCTGATGAGAGGACCAGCTGAATGTGGGTCACGTGACCATGTGAGAAATTAACAGATAAAAGTCAGCGTCCACAGAATGTTGTGGACCACCCCTGCTGGAGGTTAAC